CTCAACCTCAGTGTTCCTTGGCTAAGGTACAAACCGACAGCATGAGTAGCATGCACCTGGGCCCATTATCTCATCAACCATGGAAGACTTGGAGATAAGAGGAACCAACACAACAAATATGCCATGTTCATACTGCTTGCTATGCTGTGAGTAATAAAGTCCTTTTTCTCTGACCCAGGAGTCTTGCACCTTCTGTCAACATGCATGAACCAATACAAAGATAACTTGTTAGCTTACAAAAAGGGTAGAATCCTAGACCCTTCACAGACATTGACAATCAATTTATAAAAATTAACTATATGTATTTTTTTCCCCCCACATCACGCAGCTTGTGGGATCTTAGTTCCCCGACCAGAAACTGAGCCCGTGCCTTCTGCAGTGGAAGTGTGGAGTCCTAACCACTGGACCGCCAGGGAAGTCCTTGTATGTATTTTTATATATCAGCAATAAGCAATCATGAAATGAAAAAAATTTAAATCCATTTATAATAGAATAAAAAATGTCAAAGAATAAATCTAATAAAAGATGTACAAGACCTCTACAAAGAAAATTATGTGACATTAATGAAAGAAAACTGCAGAAAATGCAGTAATATCACTTTCATAGATTCAAAGGCTTAATGTAAACATGCAACAGAGCCCAAACTGACATACAGTTTTAATGCAATCCCGATCAAAATCCTAGCAGGTTACTGGGAGCGGGGGCATGTGAAAACTGACTAGCTGATTCTAAAATTTACATGGAAATGAGATGAGCCAAAAGAACCAAAAACTCCTGAAAAACAAAGAGCTTAAAACTCTTTGGTTCTGCAAATAAACTAACTGCTTAAACAACACTTCTCAAGATTATATCCTGAACTACTAGTCCTCCAATGTGGACGGCGCAACAGAGTCAAAAGCACTCATTTAAGAACTTATTTAGTATCTGATTAGAAACAAAAAAGCTTGCTTTCATATAAACATATAGACATAACAAAAGATTAACAAGTTCTGATCAAAAGCACTCATTATTTGATTTAAAAAACCAAAAATGTCACACACAAAAACCAAACAGTGACCTAGTAGAGAGATCTTTTTAAACTCAAATTTAAGTGTTTTCAGAAAAATATTTGAAACAAATTTTAGAACTGAGGCTTATTAAAGCCAGTTTTACACAGTTTACTGGAAGTAGTTTCAGGCTGTTGGATACACATGTACCATCCCCTGAGTATAAGATCAGAAGGTACCATTTTTCAGATACATTATAGCACTGGGAATTTTCCATTTCAACAAATGATTATCATATTGAACAAGGTCAAAAGGGTAATGGACTATTCATATTAGATGCATTTGAATTAAAAGCTTTAGTAAATAATCTCTGACTTAGCATTTTAGTTTCTCCTGAAGACATTCAATGGGCCCCTCTGAAGTATTAGAGACACTATCAGAAATAATGGAGCAGTAATATCAAAATTGAAATTGAGCTTTATATAGTTGAAGGATTAATAGTTGAAAGAGTGCATGGTCAAAACCAGCAATCCTTCTCTTAAGGGGGAGTCTTATTTTCACAGTAGTCTTTCTTTAGAGGAACTTCATTTCCAGAAGTAACAGACCGTTTTAGTTCTAAATCCCTTCTCCTCACACCAAGTACAGCAGTCTACTCCAAACTGAGCAGGCTGTGGCTCCTGATTATATTCAAACAGTCCCCTAACCAAAGATGAAGAGGCCTTACCTGAACACCTTCCCTTGCTTCTGGGTACCCTAACTATCCAAGTCCTAGTAGTGTAGCTGTCTTTAATACATGACAAAGCTAAAACCTCCAACTCAGACACTAATCACCCCAAGAGAGAAGAGAGCATCTCTCCCAAAGGTCTCTCACCATGTAAGTTAACTTTGCCCAAAGGAGTTTTTCTCTCCAGTATACTTTTTAAAGGTGACATTTCTCTCTATATATAATCATCACTATTCAGTAACTTAACACATATATAAATGCTGTTAGAGGGCAGACAGGTCTATGGTATTTTAAGTAACTCCAAACACACTATGTATCAAATTCCTGAAGCAGTAAAATTAACATGAGCTCATGTTCCTGGAAAGAATTAGTAACACCTTATAAGTGAAAAGGCATATTTCACTTAATTTTTTTCTTGACATTTTGAAAGCAGACCAAAATTTAACAATACTTTTTTCAGAAGATAAAAATAATGCTTTTGCAGTTGCTTCATGCTGCAGTATTTATATTTTAGGGGAAAGGCAGAGACTTCACTTAGCTACAGTCCTACAAAAAAGCAACAGAAAAGTTGATTTTAATCATTTTTCTGGCGTTATTCCATCTTACCTTGGATTGGAATTCCAAAAAGCTCGTCTCTGAACATTGTTTCCTGTCTGAAAATTAGGAACCAGAACTACAAACTTCTAAGTTCTTCCACCACAGAAATCAATAAACTAGTGTTAACATTGGACTGAATTCCAAAGTTCTATTCTCTGTCCCTATCTGGCTAAAAGGTATACCTATATCAAGAGTTTCTATCGATTTCCAACTAGAAGTATCAGTTTTGCTGTCAGAGCTCTTTATTTTTGTACATAAAAGGAAGTGGGTTTTGATACCATCTCAGTGTTCTTCCTGTCTTACAATGCATTTGAAATAAAGTGATGTCAGATTGAGAGTAAAAGCCCTAAATAAGAAAAAGGAATAGGCACATTTAGTTTGTTTTACCTTTATTAATAACTGCAACTGACTTAGAACTGTTGTGCAGCATGCTGCTACTATCACTGCTAACTACAAGTTTTCCATTTTAACTTGCACTGGACTACAAAAACATTCATAAATATATAATATAAACCTAAAATTTTACATTTCTATGCCTATGTCATATGCATGACCCATGAATGAGAGAAGCACATCCTATGAGAGACTAAATCATTCTTCATTATTGCTAGCTCAGCATTTATCCATTTCTGAAGACTATCAGAGCTGCTAGAGTAGTTAGCATGTCCATATGCCATCATGTGCACCTCTCATCTCCACCTTCCAAACACCACATAAAGGCCATTCTATACTCAGTTTAATAGCCTACAATCAGAAAAGATCTTTACTGAACATCTCATCTTAACGTAAACTGAGGCTAAGTAATATTGTGACAATTTCTAGAAGAAGAATGAATCAGAGGCAGTTCAAAAATAATTTATGTGGACCACAATTTTGAATTTGCTATTACCTTGCTGTTAATATCTTCTATTATTATGCCGAGTGTGGGGCAAGGTTATGCTATTTTAATCTACCCATTAAGCTACGGACAATGAGGTTCTATTGTTATTTTAAATCCTCCTGTATCATAATGCACTTAGAGAGAGCCTTTCACAACCACGTAACAACCACTACTTCAAACAGCCACTGCAGTTATAAAGCAGAAACTGACACACCACTGTAAAGCAGTTATACTCCCATAAAGATGTTAAAAAAACAAAACCAAACAGCCACTGCAGCATATGAGCTACTGAAAAGCAAAGACTAACACAACCAAGATTTTGTTCCCAGTTTACTAGTCTGACCTCCTTTAGTACTGATTTCCCTGTTTCCAGCCACATCCAGAAATTATGAATCTAGCTGTCTCTCTTGCCTGATGACTTGTCTTGGTTCCTAATCCTAGATCAACAATTCCCAAACTTAAAAAGAAAAATTTAAACTGGGGAGAAGCCGAGGAGAGACAGAGAGAGCCCTTAATACTTTTGGCTCCATCCTTCCAAAAAAAAAGAGGTCTCATTACACTCTGAGAAACGTAAAGTCCTAGACACATCTCCTTTCACTACTGACAGGGATTACTTTAAAAAACACATATCAAGAATATTGGTCGCAGGTCCCAACCTTGCCTTGCCTTTACTCCATTTGTTCCTAACACATGATGTCTGAGCTGCTCTCTAAGTGGTTGTGATCTTAAAGCTAGGATCCTCTGGTTTCAAAATTTGCCCAACTTGCAAGTGTAGTAGCTGTATGAGAGAGCACAGATAATGTCACCAATTATCTAAATTTTCTCCAGGAGTAGCACACACATTAACACAGAAATGATAATAAAGAAGATAATTTTTCTGTTATAGTTCAAAATCAATAGTACTAGAGGTACTTAAAATTAATGAGTCAAGTATTCCAACAAGCATCACTCTAACTTCTAGATCCAAAGGCAACTCACCTACGACTCAAACGTAAGAGGTCATCCAAGCTAGGGAAACTCCTGGATGTCTATTTTGCTCTGGAATACCACTATATCAGTCCTTATAAAGGAACCAGCATGAGCTGGCTTAAAATCTGCCCCGCCATGTATGGCTAAATTTATCAATATTGGGGTAAAAACGATTTGCCCTCTTCAAAAAGACTCTTGACAAGAAGCTACAAATAATTAGAAGAAGAGGTAATAAAATGTATCCTTAAGTGGAAAATTCATCCCAGGGAAGCTGCAGCAACAAAGATATTATTCCCTAAAGAAAGTTTTTGCGTAAGCTATGAAGCAGAAAGCAAGCAGGAGATGAGAGCAAAGACCAGCAGACTAAATTTAGTCTTTGCTAGTAGAAATGAAAAGCATTATTTTCCTAGTAAGGAGAGAGTTCTTAGAGCAATTAAGTCCTCAAATTTTAAAAGAGAGCATTAGAGAGGTAAATAAAATAAGGGCATCCTAAAAAAGGCTACGGGCAGCCAAGAGCTAAAAATAAACCCAGGTAAAACCCAGAGCCATGTTATCCAATGTGATGGCCACTAGCCACATGTAGCTATTTAAATTTTAGTTAAAACAAAATTACAAATTCAGTTCCTCTGTCACACTAGCTATATTTCAAGTGCTCAAAAGACACATGTAGCTAGTGGCTAAATTTTTGAGCTGGCACCGCGAGAAGCAG